TATTTCAAAATTCCCCGCAGAAGGAATATTCCGGATGATGGTTTCAGTCAAACATTTTTTGCTTGATTCGAGACGACAAACATCGTCAATAGTGGTAACATTGGACACGATCAACATCGACGGATTTGCTCAGATGCTCTGATTTGCCGCAACGATGTTATCCTTCGCTGCCGAGGAGGCACAAGACTGCGTTTTAACTACGACTGGGACCGAGGTGGCCGCTTGGGACAAGTTGTGACTCTCCAGTCGTGTGTGTGTCCTGCTTGCGGCTGTTTGGTTTCGCTATTCCGACGTGTTCCGAAATTCCGGTCATATACGACATACAGGCACTCTACGTGAACATTTTCTCTCCGCCGAGCAGCCACGTCGGGTGATCCGATCGGTTTGAACCACCGTTGCAATGTCCACAGACCTCTACCGGATTCGAATTGTTCGCGTCGATGGGGTTCGACGCATCGTGATCTTCCGCGTGTACAACGTGTATTATGTTGGTTCCCACTCACTGCCCCAGCACCCCTCGTTCTTTGTCCTGCTGTTGACAGATCCATTGACGTACATTGGGGCAGGTGGCGCTAGTTTCGCCGTCCTCGAGTCGCCGTTCAACGAAGCTGTGACGTTGTGCCAAGCCTTGTCGCGAGCATGGATGACCAAGCATTCGCACGAGTACGTTGTGCGGATGCAAATCCAGTCGGACTCGTATCAGCCGTGCACAATTCCAGAAGTTGTGGCTGGGCAAGACATGTTCGTGTATAGTCGCTTCCCAGACGAAGACAAGCTCGAACAAGCAGAGTACGAAGTCGAGTTCACCGATGCCAAGTGGATGGAGCATTTCAAAGAAGGCCACGTGTGGCAAACAACCTCGTTTGATGTGCTCTAGTCTCCTTTATCTTGCGCGAGGACGCAGCGCTTGGCACGATCACTCCTTACGCCAACAATTCCACCGAGCCGCCCCACGTCACGACAAGATTTTCAGTGTAGTCGTCCATACTCCGTTGAACACAGCACGTTTACCCAACAAGATGTGATGCATAACGTAGCCATCCACCAAGCCGTTCCACCAGTGGCCATCTTGGACGGCAGACATTGGGGTAACCGAATCAATCCCCCTTAGCAGTTTCCCTCAAATTTTCAATCGCCGCTGCGTCAGCGGACTGTGCAGCTACTGGCGAGTTGTAGTTCCGACTAAATCACGGGCGGAAACCATGGCTGATCAGTGGTTGCTTGTCCTCCCGATGGGCAACGACTTCTTCTCCCGGCTCGACTGCATTCCGTTTCATCGGACGTGGCTGTGCTTGGCATGTTGCGTGGTCCAGTTTTGCGCCGGCTCCATGTACGCCTTCACGATGCTCACCGACAGCGTCGACGGAAACGTGACCAAGGAGGCGGCGAATCGTGTCCTCCTGTTGGCGTACGTTTGTCTGGGGGTGTCAGCCGCACTGGCAGGCCCTTTCGCCGAACGACAGGGTCCACGGCAGTCCATTGCGCTCGGAACCGCGATAGTTGCCATCGGGCAAGTTTTGTCACAACTCGCCATCACTTTCAAACTGCCCTTTGTGCTCCTTTTGGGGTACAAGCCCCTGGCGGGCTTCCTTGGGCTGCCCAACTTGAACAACCCTATGTTTGGCGTATGCTTTGGGCTCGGGTTTGGCGTTCTCTTGATCACGTCGATATCGACCGTACAAAAATGTTACCCAGACAAGCGCGGTGTCGGGGCTATGCATCGTTTGGGATTGGCAATGGCGCGTTTATTAAGTTCGCGTCCATGGTGCTCGAGGTGCCCATGGGAGCCGTGCAGGTCGTGCTGTCAGGCGAAGCCATGGCCAAAATATTTTGGACCACCGGTACGCGCACTCGTGTCAGCGCGTCTTCTCATCGCTGGACCAGGCACGTTCATCGTGGCGTCGTTGCTCATGAGCACGCTGGTGCTGCGCACACCCCCTGTATCGTACACGGTCAAGGGCAAGGACATCCACAACGTTGACAAGCATCGAGCCCCGAACCCGACGCTAGTGCAGGACGAGTTTTTGAATGTCGGCATGACGCAGGTCAACTACACCGTTGTCCAGCACGAATTGGACGTGCTACTTTCAGCAGGTCAAGGCCATGTCGCTGGTGCAGTGCTTAGCATCGACGGACTTTATTTGATTGTACGCGGCTTTTGCAGCCAACGTGATGCCGATCCTTGTGTTTTTGCCCGAGATCCGCCAGCTCGCGATTCAACTCGTGGGGCTGCGAACGCAAGATCAAGTGTACTCGTTCTTCTTTGACACTTATGGTACTGTTCGTGAGCGTGATTCTTTCGCCTTCACGGTCCGTGTTAGTGGGCAACTTGGGTGACCGCCTTGCCACCCCGCTCTTGTCCGACCTCATCACCCGTGTGTGCTATGCCAATCCTGCGTTTGCGAGAGAACTACTCGTGTTCGTTGGCCTCTTGGTACTCCAGTTCGTCGCGTTGGTCCTGGTCTTGCACAACTTCGACAATCCGGTCATGGTGCAGCGCCTAGCAAGCGTCCTGACTTCAGCTGCGGGCGGCGGCCTTGCGACCATCCCGTGCTTCGTCACGGACAAGTTTGGCGTGTACAATTCAGGCACCATGTACGGTGTCGTCTGGACGAGCTGGTCCTGTGGCGCGGTCGTGTCCGGGTACCTCCTGTCCAAGCAATTCTTCTCGATGGCAGCTGTGAGTGACCAACTCAGGTGGATGCTCATTCTCACGGGCACTGGCATCGGACTCATGGTGTTTGTCCGCACCAACTCAATGGATCGATTCTTCCACGGGTATCAATTCCGCGCATTCGGCAAAATCCTCGGACAAGTGCCGTTTCGCGTGCCGCCGCGAGCTACTGTTGACGACGTCGACGCGGATAGCCTTGTCACGATGGTCACCCCCGTGTGCCAACACGCTGGCCGTAGCGTCGGCAACTTTGTCGTGTGGAGCGCCGAAGACATTTATGGGAAAATCGATGTCGAGAGCAAGCGTTAATGCACGCGAAGGACGAGCATCTAGTGCCGTAGTTGTCGCTACGTCTTCCCGTTACACTCTGCATGCTGTGGAATCCTTGGGCTGTGAGTGTCGCGGCCGCATCAAGCTTGTCGAACTCTTACCGCGCCACAAGTCCATACATATACTAAGGAAACCAAAGCTAAGCTATCCTGGACGCCTTGCTCCGTCGCAGCCGAAATGATGCCATTTTAGTCAGCGTTCGTGCGGGTGGTCCAGGGAAGGAGTTGGTAGCCTTCATTTCCGTATAGCGCTCCATCGAAGACAACCTCGTGTCCACGGAGCTTCCGGAACTGGGTCGTCCGTGCTGCAGGACGACGTGCTCGAGCGCTTCGACCCACGCATCCATGTCTTGTTGTGAGAACGCCGCCAGGACAAACCTCCTCTGGGGAGTCTTGATGGCAATGCGCCAAATTGTTGTGTTCTTTGTGTCTTGATCGCGCATGAGGCAGTCAGGTGGCATGATTTCAATGTCTTGCAGCGTGCAGCGCGTGAGGTCGACCGACCCTTTCAGCGAACCGCCTCGGGTTTTGTAGTACAAGAGGCAGTCTCCTGTCAAGATGGCATATCGTGCCTTCCAGTTGTCCCGGCCGAACCAGCCGCGCTTCCTGCCCTGCTTGTAGATCGAGCCCATACGATACACCGTCGTGTTGGTCATCGCGATCGTCTGTGGAAACTTTCAGTGTGCATGCGAACAACGCGAACGAAGAAGGTCGTGCCACCGGTCATGGCGTCCGGTGGCCAGTGCTCGAGCCAGATCTGTGTGAGGAGGTGATTTGTCTCCGTACTGACATGACACACCGAAACCGTACATCTTGATTTCAGTATACCAAGAGGTGGGCCGTTTCGTGAGGGCAGTTTTAGTGCCCATGAAATTTTCATGAACCCGCTGCACTGCGCCTTTCGAAGGACAGCGACAAAGTTTGGGCTAGTCCTTCGACATCGATTTTAACACGGGGCCTATCAAGCGCCAGTCTCGACCCGAGGACGTCGATCCCCGCCAAGTATGCGCCACGAAGAACTCGCCTGGGTGGCACGGCGCAATTGAAACGGGGCGGATGGACGTGTGTACGACGCGATCATAGAGGTGCGCGCAGTCGTCGAACCACGCTGCTACACAGTAGTTCGCGGTGGATGCGAACACATCTGCTTCCCCGCATAGACTCGTCATCTTCCCACCTACCTTGGACGCGTGACTCATGAACCCCGGCAAGGCGAATGCAGGCAGATTGTTGCGCCGTGAGATGTCACACAAGTTGCCGATTCGCGCGGCCTTGGCCAAGCTCCGAAGTTTCCCGCACCGCGCGACCTTTTGTAAATGCGTCAGAGGTGACGCACCTTGAAGGCATCCAGGTCAATGTGCTAACGCACGCGAGAGAATGACGGAGGCACGCGACTAACCTGCTCGGTCTAATCTCAAAACGTAAGAGTCAGCAACTCCTCATGGTGCCTCCTCCAAGTGCTTCATCCGAAGCCGTGGTTTGCAGACGTCTCTGCCAAGAAGCGGTGCCAGACCACCGTTGGTATCGACGGGATCTTTCCGCAACAGCCCCTCCTGAATACGCCAACTTTGTCTTGGTCGATTCGCAAGGATTGTTTTGTGTGCCAAGAGCGATTTCATCGCATCCATCGAAAGAAGGCCTACTGCACCAAATGTGGTGAAGTCATGCGCTCCAAGTGCTGTCGTACATGGGCCTCCACGTTGTCAAGGTCAAGGCATACACCTGGGCACCCCCACGGCGACTGGTATGGCCGACGCTACCGAATCCAGCCATGCTCACAAGGAACCGACAGATCCTGTCGGTCACGATCCTTGGCGCACCCAGGACCCAGCTCTCTTTGCCGACTGCGAGTTCGCTCTCCGCCACGGAACGGGCCATGAGCAGGCAAAGGCCCCGTCTCGAGATAAACTTATTGGACTTGATTGGTATGTTGTTTGGGTTGGACTGTCTGCATACTAGTACATGTCTGCATACATTAGTGGGTGAAACATGGTGCGCAATGGCTGGAATGCTTCTGCGACGTCCAAGACTTCTTGTCTTCACAGTCGAATGCGATGCCCCAACCAAGACGGGATGTAATGGAGGCTCTGAGATGCCCGCAGCCGAACCCAACTTCGACCGCCCTGGAAATCTCTCCGCATGGATGGCTTGTACTCGATCTCAGCTCGCGACCACGGCGACCTACCTCAACCGAACAGCTCAAGGGAGGTTTGGCATTCATCCTTCGTGCAAGGTCCAGACTGGAGCTCTGGGATGCTGGCCATCGAGCCACAAAGAGCAAGGCAATTGCTTTCTTAGCCAGGTCGCCATGTTGTTGTTTACACCTGACATTGCCACCGCGGTCTAAGATCTTCCAAATCAAATATTCATGCTTTGTTTAGATATGGTATTGTATATATGCACATTTTGTAGAATACTTTATGCTTCGAATACTTTCAAAACAACCTGTAGGCAATGCACCCACAGGTCGGTTCTCGAGACCCGGACGGGTTACATAGATGAGGATATCTTGACGGCGCACCACCACGCCGCTGTTGTTGGCCCTTTGACCTCGTCAAAATGGCATCACCATCGGCACCGTGCCTGGTGCCGCACCCGCCTCGGCGGTCGTCACTTCTACAGCGCAATTCATCCTCGCTCCGCCTGCCCTGCAATGACCCGAGGGCCGCGTTGCCGCTACCAGCGCTTACCATGGACACACCGTCGCTGTCGAAGTCCGACATCGAGTCCCTGCTGGAACAATCGGGGGCAAACTTCACGGCACTACAAACTCGTTGCTTGGGCCGCGACGACCGATGGTCGCTGCTAGCCCATTCTCGCAAAGTCCATGTAACTTCTTGTGAATCCACAGAGCTGGCAGGGGTGTCAGTCTTGTCCAGCGCCAAAATCTACGCCACGTTGGATGAAGTGGTTGCCCTCCAAGACAACGCGACCTTGTCCATTCAACACTTTTCAGAGACTATCGAAGAGTCCAAGGTGCTATATGTACTCAAGGAAAACGCGGAAGACTGCGTTGTCGTGAGGTGGCAGGATCTAACCTTCGGCATTCCAATTCAAAATCGCGACGTTGTCGTTCTGGAGGTAAACCCAAGCTCGGGCATCCCGATGTAACGTCATGTGAACCATAGACACAGCGCGAGTTCTATTGCCCGGATGGACGAAAGGCATTTGGCTTTGCTCAGCACTCGATAGCGCTGCCGTGCTGTCATGATTTGTACGAAACGTACCAGTTGGTGCGGGCCTCCATGCACCGCTCCGGGTTCGTGGCTGCAACTCATGGCTCGTGCACGTCATTTGGTGGGATAGGATGCTCTTTTTCGAATCGGACGTGGACGGTCAGTTAGATGTGTATTTCCACACCGAGATGGACTTAAAAGGATCGATTCCGCTGTGGCTGTCCACACACCTCCTTCGCCAACGAGCATGTCGGGAGCTCGAGACCCTCAGCACGACGCTGCATGAGAGGAGGCTCACCAAACGCATTCAGTACCAATACGTGATCACGGTGCCTAAGGCCGATCGCACGCACTGCTGCTACTGTCTGTATCCGTTCTGTTCGTGGCGACGAAAATGCAATTGTAAAGTGTGCGGCGAGGTATGGTTGAATTCTAGCCATCGATTCCGACATGATATTGTAGGTCTTTTGCTGGAAATGCACGCAGTTCTGGCGCCTCGAGTCGCAAGAACGACGCGTGTGTGTTGGGTGTGCGAGCGACTTCACAAGCGACCCAACCGTCCAACGCCGCCCCTACTATTTGGACTCGACGATTCAAAGTACCATCCGTGCTTGGACGGTTGACGACCTCAGCTTTCGTTCGTCTAGGAGTCTTCCCCATCCTGCGACATCGCGCATCGACGTCGGCGACCAAAACGTGCAAGATGAGGTCCATGCCTGCCTCATACGATGACAAACGCAGCACGGAGAACGAGTCGGACGACATTGATTTTACAGCCACGATGACCTCCAACTTGGCCGTCCTCGGCGACAAGAAGTCGCTGATTGAAGTGCCGATCATGGCGACCAGACCCTGTCGATCTGTGTCCGCCTTCTTTGTATGGTGATGTTGTCCAACGTAAATGTAAACTGAGTCGTCGCGTCTTTCGAGTTGATGGATCGCTTGGTGGTGGTCATCGCGACACTTGAGTCACTGGCATAGGAAGACCGACGTCGTCCGTCCCACTCGAGATTCAACAGCTTCGACGTGTTTGTTGCAGGCTTCCCAGAACGAGAGCTTGATTCGCAAGGTAGCACAAACGTCGTCCGTGTCATTTCCGCTGCCAGAGGACGCCTACGTGCTGTACACGTGTCGATGGGTGGTCCCAATGGCACCGTTGCGGTGTGCATTTGAATCTAGACTCGTTCGAATACGATCCAAATGAAGATGGTTTGCATCTTGGCGACGGACGCAGCTGACGAGGGCGAGTGACGCCAGAGAACCACAAGATTCGCATAAATGCATGATACCTCTGCCGGTCAAGTCGCGCAAGGTCACCCGCCGACCCCTCGTTCTTGTGGAAGGCTATGCAGCGGTGCAAATGTGGAGATAGAGTCGACAGAAGTAGACCTGACTCCCCAAAAATTGTGCTAAAGCATCCATCGTTGTGCGCCGAGTTTGCAGGAATGAGATCCGACCGCACTGCCAAGCTCGTGTCCGTTGGATCCGACAGGTCCGCAGGACGAGAAGTGGCAGCGACGGCACGTGGCTTTCCAAGTCCATGAACATCCCGCGCCTCCAACCCTGTCGTTGAATCTCGACCGCCGCCAAAAGTGCCACTGTCCAGGAACACTCCTCCGACAGCTCACCAACACCGGCACCTTCTGCAATTTCGACGACCCACCCATTTCGAAATTTGGGTTGCGCTGCTGCGCACCCACGGCATCATTTGGCATTTTGACTCGGAACACGCACGATGATGTCTCTGTACGTGATGGCCAAGACGATTCGCGCCGAGAACAAAGAGATGCACGAGGCCGAACTGCCCCGGGACCACCGCAGCCACTGCCTCAACTGCCGAAAACAGTTCAACCTCCTGCGGCGAAAAGTGAAATGCACCACGTGCGGCGAAGGGTTTTGCAAAGACTGCACCGAAGTTGTTTTATCCGACGACGACAAGCGCACATGCCACTACTGCTTCAACTCGTTCTACAAGCACAGCATGAACACAGACTGCAGCTTGCCCACGCCGACCCACGGCGACGGCTCGAGCAACGTCGACAACCTCTCGATGACGGTCGAGTCGTTTTACAAGACGTACTATGCCACACTGCAGAAACCAACGTCGTTGTCGGCGCAGGACACGGACACCGCGACCGATTCCGACCGGAACAGCGACGACTCGGACGATCGGCGATCGTCCATCCCCATCTTGTGACTCGCCAACTTAAGTTAACACACACGTATTTATTTCGTCATGCACGTCATGCTTGGAAGAGTGCTCTCGACAAGAGTTCCGCGAGATGTTTGCATCGAGGGTGTGCGATGGAGCTACGTCAAAGGCAAGCCGTCTGTCGATCGGGATGTGGAGCTTGGTAAAGGACAATCGATCCCAGGGAACGCCTCCACCCCCCAACTGCATGCGGGGACGGATGTTGCACGTAGAGGATCCCCAACTTGCTACAACTCTTTTGCACGTCCCTCGAGGCGCTGACGACACTTGATTCCCTCTCTCGAACATGGGAGGCAGGCACTGTTCACGAAGCAGACGCGCATGGACGGCTTTTCACGTAGGGGCTTGCGTGCGCTTACACTGTGTAAAGGACTCGGGAGTACACGTCATGCACTTGGGCCCAGGGAATCTCTAGAGGAAGGTGAACTCTGTTGGGAAGGTTGGGCAAGACAATCGATATTTGGTTTGCGATGGTTTGGTGGAGACGCGGTGGGCTGTGTATTTGGCTGAACTGTTCACTGGCACGCCACCGATAGAGCGCGCCAATGACAGCACCCGGGTGCGTTTACATGGGAAGTGGCTATTGCGAATCCTGTCGAATCTCAACGGCAATGAGACCAGCCCGGTGACACGTCTTGGCATTCGCCCATTTTGATCGCACAACATGTATGCGCTCTTTGTGGCGGCCAAGAGCATCGTGAACGACACCAAGGGCACCTCGATCAAAGATAGATGCCACGGCTGCCACCGCGCATTCGTGCGGGACCGCAAGACCTCGACGTGCCGCCACTGCGTCCAGGTATGATACGTCAGGATCCATCCCTTGACATGCACGCCTGTGCAGGATTATTGCACTTCGTGCATCGAACGACAAAAGGGCCCCCGACGAGTTTGTGTCAAGTGCTCCGACAGTCGCAGCAGCTCCATGACCCACCCGATCGCTCTGCCATGCCGGCAGCGATTTTATGTGCACGACGTCCGCGCACGACAGCGGATGGAACTGGCCACCAGCTACGAGCGACCCACGGAAGACACGTGGTCGAGCGACTCCCTGTGCAGACCCAGCGAACTCAGCCCCCTCGCCACCAGCATGAGCTGCGCTGTGGACAAATCGTCGTGGGAAATTTGGAGCGAGGAAGACGACCTGGCTGTCTCGCACGCATCCGACTCGTCGTGTCTCGAATGGCGCGGCCACACATCCGTTCTCCTGGAACCTTCCGCTACCACCAGATGCACCAACAGACCACTTTCGAGACCACAGATGAACCCTGCCCTCCAGTTCACACCCGATGGCACATTGGAGCACAGGGATCTCCACTGGAGCCTCGCTATTCCGCAGCATGTCCCACACGGGTGAAGGTCTCTTGATCCAAACCGTGTTGCGCCCGTTCTGTGGACTAGATATAGGAAAATGTATATAAATATATGAATCTGAGAGTTCAGATTCAATTTATGCGATGAGGCACCGACGCAACTTGTTCAACTTTTTCCACCGGGGCGACGTGGGGCAGTCCGAGGCTCTTGTGCACGCAATCGACACAGGCCAACGACACGCGCATCAGGTTGTCCGGCATGCGCTTATCATGGCACACAGAACCCGTGCCACGTAGCCTTGTTGATGGCGGGTGTGGTAGCTGCGGCAAACCGCCGTCCTCTCTCTCAAGATTCAAAGTCGACTGTCGCATGGGAGGTTCCACTGCCGAACGCAACGATGGCGACTCAAATGAATCAAGAGACCAAGGCCAACCGCCATAGGTGGCTTGTTGTCAGAACTCGCTGCGTTGTCGAGATTCCCACCATAGAAACTTGCTGTTCCTTTTGGTGCAACAAAACGCACGATGCCTGGCGCACGTCGCATGTTTTTGCCACGTCGAACGCGCTAGTGTCATGAAGAAGATTGCCATTCCCCAATTCACCATGTACGCTCTGTTTGTCGCAGCTCGCAGCGTCATCTCGGACAGCAACCGCGAATGCCAGATGAACAAGAAGCACTGTCGCCTGTGTCGAAAGCGCTTCAACCCGTTCCGCCGACGTAACTCGTGCGCCGTGTGCCACGAATGCTTTTGCAGCAACTGCATCGAAGACGACAACGTTGTGGGCGAGCCCCCCATGTGCCTCTACTGCGCCGACTCGTCCCAGCAACGCTTGCGCATGGCGTCCCCCAGCCAAGAAAAGGGAACGTTCTTTATTACGTTCGAAGACCCTCGACTGTCTTGCAGTTCATCGGTCGAGCGATACTCCCTCGACATCATGAAGGGCAGCCATTTGTCTCGCCGCACATCGAGCATCGCGACGGCCTCGTCGGACTTCACAGACGTCGATGAGTTGTATCGGTTTTCCGACGACTTGTGGCCATCCGACTGCATTGTTCTCAAAGACATCGTGCCTCGGCACTTTGCAAAGCCCTCCCGCGCCACGAGCGGGCATCGGAGATCCGGCCAGTGGCACTTCTAGGGCCACCAGCACACCATTCCTTCGACCCAACCATTGGAAGTTGCGTCGACTTATTAACTTAACTAACTTATTCCTTTTCAACTTGATCAACATGGAGTTCGATTGAGTCGGGCGACTGTCGCCACAACCGTGGATCGTAGAACGCTTGCACGTCTTTGGCGAGCTGACCGGTCGCAATCTTACCCCCATCCGACTGGCATCCCGATCTGACCACTGCCAAGGTCGCTGCCCGGATTCGCACAGGGGGCGGCAGTCAACTGGCGTGCGATGTGATCAGCTCAAAATCCAGAAAGAGTCGCCACAGACCCTCCGGATTTGGCAGAAGAGTTTTTAGCTACAATTTCGTATGGTGCGTACTTTGACAATTGCCAGCACATGAGCTTCTCTGACCAATAGCATGGCTTTATTGCATTCGAATGAGCCAATGATATCGCTGGATCGAAGCCGTCAGTATTGGTGGCAACTCCACCATGACGAACACGACGGTCGAAACCTCGCGGCCGGCGAAACCAACCAAGGCCCCGGCGACGAAGCATTCACAGCACTGCAAGCCGGCGCATGTACAACACCATGGTAACAAACAGCGTGTTGCATTCGACAAACACCGCACATCGCACAAGCGCAAAACCCCAGCGTCTTCCCATCCGCCCCCCGCCGTGATCAAGAAGCCCAAGAAAGATGCCCCCGACACAGTCAAACTAAACAAGGAACTGGCGCAATTCGCGAGCCGCAAACAGCTTCCTGAAGCCCAAGCTGTGTTTGAAAATGCTGTCGCCAAGCGTCTAGCCAACTCGTACACGTACGTGAACATGATGAACGTGTGTGTGCGCTGCGGCAACCTCCCCCAAGCCGCGACTGTGTTTGAATCCATGAAAGCCGCCAAGATCGCTCCTGATGTCGTGGCATACACGACTCTTATCAAGGGGTTGTGCGGCGAAGGTCGCCTGACCGACGCCATGCAGCATGTCCGTGCCATGGAACGTGCCAAGGTTCCATTGAACATTCGAACGGTCAACACGCTGCTTCGGGGATGCATCTTGATCGGCGATGTTAGCACGGCCGAAAGCATCTTGGACGCGACTTTGGGAAAATGGAAAGTCGCGCCGGATGACTCGACGTGGGAATACGTCATTGCGTTGCTGTGCCGCAACTTGCAGCTGAAGAAGGCGTTGAATGTGTTTGGTCGTGGGTTGCTCGCTGCCGGGTGCAACGTTGGGAGCAATACAGCTACTCTGATCAATTTGGCTCGTGCCGCCACATTGCTTGGCGACGTTACTATCGCGGAGAAGTACGTGGCGATGTCACAGCGGAGCTTGGACGCCCCACAAAAGGCTAACGCCGCAGAACCTGGCAAAGAAGAGACTGGAGGGAAGCGTGGGTGGCACGAAGCGTCTGAGTCGCGCCAAGAATCGCTCGCCGTGTTTCTGAAGATCAAGCGAGACGAGCTTGCCCGCGAACTCAGCGTCATTTCAACGTATTTGCAGCAACTCGCCAAACAACTCGGAAACGACCCCAGCAATGAGTTAACTCGACATGCGTCGTCCATTTTCGAAATGTACAAGAAGGTGCTGTTGGTGCCGTTGGTGGTCAAGCCAAACGTGGCGCTGCCGGCAACGTTGGCCACCGGCGTCCTTGACACAATGGGATTGCGAGCGGTACTGAAAAAGCATTTTCCTGAAAAAGTCGACTCGATGGAGTCAGCTTTCGGCCGCCGCTTGACCTCTGGTTCGTTGATCAAGACGAAGAAGGTGTTCGGAAAAGATTTGGTCCAAGATCTGCCGCTGAAGCTCGAAATCTGCAGCGGCGCGGGCGAGTGGGTCGTGAACCAAGCCAAAAAAGACGTAGGGAAGGCTCTGTGGGTGGCCATGGAGATTCGACACGACCGCGTGTACCAAATCTTCACGCAAGCCATCTTCGATCACGTGGACAACCTGAGCATTGTCGCTGGGGACGCTGCCGTCATCATCCCGACGCACATGAAGAAGGCCCAAGTTGATTTCATCTTTGTAAACCAGCCGGAACCACCTCAACAGACAGGAAGCATGAATACTCAAGCGAAGCATTTGCTCACCGCGCCCTTCCTCGACGACTGCATCGAGCTGCTCAAGCCCGCCGGACGCCTCACCATCGTGACTGACAACAAGTGGTATGCCCAGTTTCTGTTGAAGATTGTGTCCAAACTTTACCATGTCCATGGCGTCGCCCTAAAAAAGCGCCAAATTGTCGAGTCCTCGGGAACGTTCCACATCTACATGGGGCACCCTCCCAAGGAATGTGGCGTCGCCGACGAACATGCGTCATCGTACTTTGACCGCCTCGCCAAGCAAGACAACATCCGAGGCAGCCAGGGCACCTACTTCCTCTCGGTCGCCAAAGATAACATCATATAATCTGTCATTGCCTCCATCTTGTCTGTAACGAATGCAGCCGTTGGTGTCACCATGGCCTCAACCTTATGAACTGTCTCCTCCATCACAAATATCATCTCGAATGGGCTCCTCGTCAAGGCCCATGGACCATGGTCCTCGTGTCGACCGCGGGAAGGTTCCCGATTGTGCATGTGGTGCGAGCCAGAATTCTGAAGTCTCGACGTTTTTTTATGACTCCATCCAAATATCAAGTATAAATAATGAGCGACCATCATTCCCTTGGTTCCGACGGTTTTGTGAGGCCATATTGCAAAATCGTCCGGCATGGGCGGCGATGGGCAGTTGCATGGGTCTGCGCTGGGCCGCGTTTGCACCGTCACGTTTCCACAGGCCCATGGAACTCCACGCGTGATTCTGGACACCGAATATGTATGTACCATAGGATGGTCCTTCTTCGACCATCTCCTTGTCGCCTTGGCACCATCTTCAGTGTGTCTCCGCCTCTGCCACATCAAAAACGACGACGACATTCGGTGGGTCGTTAATGATGCAACCCTGCTCGCCCTGTTTGAAGATTCATGCAACCAACATCACACCCTGCATGCAGTTGAGGATCATCCTTCCTATCGCGCTGGAAGGATTGTCGTGGAGTCGCATGCGAGTCCAGACTTCTCTCCCAAGCTCTGCAGTGTGGAAATTGCGCGCATTCAAGAAATGGAAGAAGAAAAGTCCAAGCACTCTCAAGAGCAATGTGACGATAGCAGCGTCGACGACATTGCGCTGGAAGATCACAACCTGTCTGACATCGAAGTCAAGGTCACCAGCTCGACTATCCATGCCACAAATCTCATGAACAGCATTCGGCACTTTTTCGATCCCAAGCCTGCCATGTCCAACTCAATCGATGACCCCGAGCCAAAAAAGACCAACTGGTGGTCTGCATCAACGCAGCTTTTTCTCAAACCATTTGCTTCCAAGTCCACAGCCACGAAGCAGACGAAAATTCCCGACATGACGTACCGATATTCGGAGCCTCCCATGCGGCCCATGAGCGCATCGCATCAGATCCAGTTCCCAAGGATGTCGTACAATACCCAGCCAACCGAAGGCGACACCACTCAACACAACTTCCACATCTCGTCGTCGTGGCACCACCATGCAGATCGCATGAGTGCTTCGATGAATCTCCCCACCACCAAGGAGAGCACGATGGGTTCCTTTGTTTGGATTTAGACAAGCAACTTAATGCGCCATAACTTATTCATAAGGTTAGCAACTCTGTGTCGTCGTCATTGCAGCACCGTCCCATTTTTGCTGTTCAACCTCGAAACCCCTCAAGGATCACGACTTTTTTGGATAACGTGATTTACGAAATTTGTGCATTTGTTCGAAGTTTCAACCTCTCAATATGGAACTTTATTGGATAAAATCAAAACAAATACGGAGATTTGATTGGATTCAGGTGCTTTCTGGTCATGTGATTGGTTTTAACTGCAATCTGGGCATGTATAAATATTTTTCTGGCGCGCCGAACGATCGATGGTCGATGCCGCGGCCGTCGTTGGAGATGATACGTCCTTGAGCCAGACTGCAACATCGCCCAATGCATCGCAGAAGTCGCCTCTGACCTTGCCAACCCACCGGCAGGTCCATGACACGTACAAAGTGATCACACCTGTGAACTCTCCAAAACGTGCTCCTGCATCGACCGACCCCGTGAGCCCACATAGTTCCGCTGTCGTGCAAAAGAGACCAAATCTCCATCTGAACTTGAGCATCATCAAGTCGGCTCCCTCTCGCCCGCTTGTGCCCAGTGCCACGGGTCGCGTGAAGAAGGTGACACGTGACATTGCCGCCCTCGACTTTCTTCAAAACATACCCATGTCATCCGAGTATTACAGCTCAACAAACGACGCAAGCTACCTCAACTCGCCAGTGCCACACGACTCGAATGAACCCGGTGGAGTCGTCATGTCCGACAATGAGGATGACCATGCGCTCGCTGGCCGTCGACTTCCTGGACCAGACTGCCAGGTCGTGCGGATGCCTCCATTGATTCGGTATGTTGTCCGTGATCATGTGCGCAATTTAACATCTTGATGCAGCTACCGCATGACAACAAAATACCCCCCGGCATCGGCCACCGTACGGCTTTGGGAAGGCAACATGAACGAGCAAGGGCTTCTGAATGGCAGGATATTCCTCTCGAGCGGCAAGGGTTACCCCGTCACAGTCACATCTGTGATCAAAGTACGGTCATCTGTGCTAGCTATTTCTCGCAAGTCCTTCCGTGTATTTGACGGTATTTCGGTCCAAATTCCAGTCCTAGCTACTCGGCACAATGACCATGTTGAGCGCAAAAGAATTGCATCACTCTTTGCTTTGTGGATAGTACAATGGGAATCAAACCAAGGTGCGGCACCCCGTGAGTTATCGTGACAGCGTTGTGACTCCGTACGACTGGCGGGGCAAGTCGTACTTCCAGCTCTTGCACTCTACGTGGAGCAGCTGCGATATGGACCGCGATGCCCAAGATAAGCATCCTGTGCCGCTGCAATACCAACCCAACTTTCTCGACAATCCAGAGTATGTGCCTCCATGCGACATCCTTGGCAAACAGCGCCGATTCATGGCAAATTTAGATACCGCCAAGGACGGCATAAGGACGTGATACGAGGGGACCGGAAGCTCGGGCCCATGGTCAGCAGCATCATGCGCTTTGTCAAGCCCAATGACTTGAAAGAGGTGCAGCGATGTGCTGCGTCAAGGATAACGTTTCTCTGCAGGAACTGAACAAGCAATTTCGAGAAGCCCACCCTTGGCTCCACGACTCCGACCTGAGCTTGAGCAAGATCCGCAACCTCAAGCAGGAAGCGCTGCTCATGGGCCAGCGCATTCACCTGGACATCTCGACAGTCGCCCTCGCGTGTGTGTACTTTGAGAAGCTCGTGCTGGAAAACGTAAGAATCTATTGAATTGTTACGATTTCGAACGTCGTGCATTAGTACGTGACCAAGACCAACCGAAAGCTGTACATGTCGGCGTGCTTGATTTTGGCCGTCAAATTCAACGAACCAAGGGTACTCGTGCCTCTTCCTTCGTTCCTTCTTCGTGTGGTGCTTCATGGAGTCAATCAGGGCACTGACGATCTCTTGGTCGTGGTCAAGAAGCTCTTGGTTGAGATCGACCAAGTTCACTCGATACCATCACGTGATGTGCTTGCCGTCGAATTTCGAGTGTACGCGGAACTATCGTTTGCGCTGCACGTGCCGCTGACCGAGATACAAGTGAGTTCCTTTTGCTGATTTAACATATACTTGAGTAACCAACGTGTCTAGCCGCATTTCGCGCGGTTGCTCAAGTGCATGGAAAGCAACCCCCGCAAGTACTTGGGCGAAGACATCTTTTCGTTCTACTCAAAACTCGTGCACGATGAGGTGGTAGCACCCCTGCATCGGACCGACGACGACGACTTGGACGACGATGATGACTGCACCGATGGAGAACACTTGCTCAGCGACGCAGAAGAACTGGAGGACGAACCGACCGAGACGGGGCGCACGTCACTGTTCCCGTGGAACCAAGTGTCGTTTACGCAGTGGTGGAAGGATCGGACGTAGCGTCGAATTGAAATGAATCGGCCGGGTGCAGGCCCCACGTCAAGTTGTTTAGTAGGTGTCGCTCGGACTAAACTCTGATGGGCGGAACGACGTGCTCGGATTCGAATGCCATGTGACGATCGTGCGTGGCTGATCCAGCCTC